AATGTTTGGCTGTGCAACATGCTTCTCCAAAGATGTATTCAAAAGTTTTTTGTCTTCCAGCTTTGAGGCGGTTAAAACTTCAAACAACCTAAAACATTTTAAACTAAACCATTAACAACCCTGTCGTTACATTTTGCCGAAAACCCATCATGCACTCTGTAATCAATCCAAGCTTATAATCAATAAATCAAGTGTTGTGATACTATAAATGAGCTATGTGATGGCAAATCTAAGAATTTGGAAATGAAAAAGGCGTTGCTTATGACATATTATGGCTCGATTTTGTGTTGGATACCTGATATGTTTAAAACATTATGCTAAAATGTATGAAAATTATGTCTGCATCAACTGCAATTTGGCACGTTTTCCCCCCCCCGTAATTTCTCCCCAGACGCTTTGAAAACAGTCGCTCCCTGCAGAGATGATCAAAGAAGCAGGGGATCCATCTTGACACAACACCTTCTCATCACGCCTCTAAAGGCAGCTCCCATTGAATGGACAGATTAAAAAAACATTGCTGCCATGTTAGATACAGGCCAGCACTCACACTCCATAATTATTAGCCTGATGATTGCACACGAGTGTTTTTGGCTGTTGCATCTGGCGATGATGGAAGTTGTTGTATGTATCCACCCGCATTTTCCTGGCTGTCAAAATTGCATTCTGAGAAAGCCGTACTCCTCTCATCAAGAGTCATAATTTACTTGTCAAAGCAGGAGTCCTCTCAGCGGGCGGGAGGCTCCCCGGGGTTATAATTGCGAGACGGTTTTGCTTCTCCTGAAATGCCTTCAGTCAAGATGGAGCACAGGCCTGCTACTCTTTGTGTACTCTTTCCTTTTAAAAGTAGCCATTTACGCAGAAAATTGTAAAACATGGTTTAAAAAAAGATATTTGGCTACCTTCACTATACTTTCAACATCAACTCCTTGTCATCAGAGACTTTCCACTGCTGATTACTTTGGTGCTCAGAGAGCTTCTCTACACTGACACAAGGTCCCCATCTGGTGGAGGGAATAAGGAAGTCTTCACACAGAGTAGAGGTCAGCCTCGGTACGTCTGAGAGATTACAGCTAATGCAGGATTGTAAATGATTTTTTTAAAGTAATGAATATTTATATTAATCATTCAGAAAGGAGGACGGTCATTCTCAAGTGCTGTACTTAAAGTGGACCTATCATATATTTAAATAATATAGTGTAGGACCATACCTATATAAGGCATATTTATACTTTTTATTTTTCAAAATACCAAACAGATCATGCATTTTAGCCATTCCTCATTTCGCTCAATTTAACACTGTCTTTGCATGGGCTGATTCTGTGAGAACAGCAACATCTACAGGCCTGGCATATGTACTACAGCGTCTCCAGCGCTTTCGAACGGCAATGTCCGTGGCTGTCTCCTGCTGATTGGTGGAGTTGGCCCAATAGCCGTAGCGCCACTTCTGTGATGTCAGAGAAGTGTTCAAATCTGGATCAGTTTGTATCAGATCCGTTGCAGCCCCTTTTTAAGAGATTTGGGTATGGAGGAAAATAGAGAGGGTTGTGTTTTCTGACACTTGGTGAGTTCTCTGGAACACCAGGGACACATATTCATGTATAAAAGACGTACAAAAGTGCATTTTCCATGATAGGTCACCTTTTAAGTATACATTTGATTACTGTATTTTCTGCCCCTTTTATACTCCACTTCATACCAGAGGGAACTATTGTATTTTGTAATTTGTCAGATATTGTACCGGGTTACTCGACATATTAAGATTTTACATAAAAACACATGCTTTTAAAATACAAGGCTTAGTTTAACCCTTGTGTTGTGTTCGAAAGCTGTTACCGTTCATGGTGTTCGCGGGTTAATTTTGACCCATGATTTATCTCAGTCCAAAACACTCCAAAATAATGACTATCATCCAATATTGTTTTAACTACATCATAACTAACTTATTATGCATTAAGTAGTAGTTATATCATTTTGAAACGGGTCACGGGAGACCCGAACAACATAAGGGTTAAAAAACTTTATAGCCTTACAAAAAACGNCGACGCGTGGGAGGTCCGGGGGGGGGGGGGAAGGTACCGAAAATATAAACATAAAATAGAAGTTTGGGTAGAGGGAATCAAAGTCAAGACAGGTGGTGACTAACCCGACAGCACGCGGTAGGGTACAAATTGGGGTAGTACGGAGGGGTGTGTGCCTTGGATTAGGTGGTCAATTTTGATTATGGCGATTAGGAGAGACCGTTCAACTTGTTGGGGAGGGAGCGGAGGAGGAATCCAGGAACTCAGGGTTTGCAGTACTACGTTCTTTTTGCAGTCTTGATGGTCTACTATTAGGATACTTTGACATAAGGTGGAATTTAGCATAGCTATAATATGTTTAAGACCTCTATTTCTGATGTTTCCAGTATTATGTCAGTTCCCCTACTTGTCGTCATGACACATTTCCTTCTATCTTTCTGTGTCATTTTCAGGTTGTTGGGTGGTTCCTGAGACATTTGTAATAAATGGATTGTTTACAAAAAAAAGCAGCTGCTATACCGCAAGAAAATAAATAAAAGGGCAAGTGCTGCTTTGGGCTTCCAATATTTGAGTAATGTGGGTTTTTTCTCATGCAGAAACTAAAGTCCACCTTCAGGGGTCCTTGAATGTATTCCAGAAAGCTCCCCAGTCTGATTTCACTAAATTAAAAACACACAATTCTTACTTGTAACACCACGTTGTCGTTATAGTCTATAATTCAATACAAAAAATGCATACAATAATGTTAGCGACACAATTTTTTGGCACTGAGTCTTTTGTGTTTAAAGTCCTTTCTGTAAAGCAATCAGGAGAGTAACGCAGCATCTGGCATACTTAAACACTTGTTATGAGGACGGAAAGGATTTCAAAGTTTTGTTGTTGCTCTGCATTAAAAAAGCTCCTGCTCTGGCTTAACGAGAGGACAGCCCCAGGTGCTGAAACCGTGTCCACTGACTTTCACACGAGGTGTCCTGCGGTGCATCCGCGTGATGACCATGAGACCGGAGCCAGAGCCTGAAGCCCTGACAGTTACAGGCTGGAAACGAAGACACTACTGCGCTTTGTATTCAGTGTCTTTGCCCTTTGAGATGTGCATATTAAACCGCTGACCTTTGAGTGCTGAAAAGCCTTTCAACAATTCAGTCAAGATACACTGTTTTTGGCTATGCATATCTATTTGTCCGTTATATCTGTATTCAGAGAAGCAAGGATTCATTATGGCTGCAAAACCAACCAAACGATATATTTTTCCATCACTCATTCAAAAAGCTGGAACACTTTCCTCATCATCTCTGCCGGGACTCGAACCCGGAGCCTCTGGATTAGAAGTCCAGCGCGCTATTCCATTGCGCCACAGAGACTGTGCCGTGGTTTTTTCGATCAAAAATGGATTTATACTCCCCCTCCCAGCCCTGTGCAGCATCCTCAGCATCCTTCAGCATCAGGACCGCAGCTCGGAGGAAGATATATTCCCGGCCGGTAGGGGGTGCTGTAGGCGCGCTCTCATTAAGTCTCATGCCTCATAGAGAAAGCAAAAGCCCCTGGTTTCCATCCCCCATTGCTTTCACACAGGTTATCTCATCAAAACATCCTAATGGTGATATTATTAGAGCAAAACCAAACGACGGAACATCTCTCATTGTAAATGCATCAATAAGTATGAGGCGATGTGCTCACGCCTTGCAGGGAATAGCTCCAGTGAACAGCCCATGTTTTTATTACCTCTCTTTTAAAATGGGAAATATGTCTACAGGGTTTGGTGTGAAAAGACTACAGTATAAGCAAATCAATTCTTAAACCCCGCTGAGCTTGAGCAATTTTCCTGTCATTCACAATGGGAAATTGCAGTCTGATGGATCTCTAGCTCAGATGGAAATGTGCTTATAACATGGATTAGACTCAATGTAGGGAATCATTACGAAGCCAACATATCTGCACTCAGGCAAAAAGTCTCAAACTGAGAGCCATTCTGCAAGGGATGTTTTTGCCAATTAGTTTAAGAAGGAACCCGGTAAATGAAGAGATGTTTATCAAGAACTGATTTGGCTCTGAGGAGAATATCACACCTTCAAAAAGGGACAAATGAACTCGTGGTTTAGAACACTAAGAGTTACTGCAGACAGTTTGCCGAGTCCTTTAAAGCTTCATCACATGTGGCTGGCAAATAAATGTAATCGACAAAGAAAAGAGAGATCCAAGCTTCCGAGATGTTTTCCCTCCGAGCCTTCAGTAACAAATTGATAAAGCAATTACCTTGAAGCTAACCAGACTAAGTTGTCGTGTGGTTTCTCAGAGCAGGTCCTGTAGATCTAAACAGACACATTTTCAAACAAGCCACTCGAAAACATTATGGGTGCAGCCTCCTCCCCTGAGCACTTACAGTTGTTGTTGTTGTTTTTTTTCCCCTGTGTAACTGTACGCTACATAAGTCTGGTTGGATTTGACATCACGGCTTAGGTTTATTCACACTGTAGGACAGAAGCTGTGGAGGTGCAGTGTAGCTCCTGTGCAGCTCAGCGGGGGGTGGGGGGAGGCCTGAGGCAGGCTGCCGGTGAGGAGCCTGTTCACAAACACAGCTTCCACCACTGGGGTGCCTCTCCACATATCAGCGCCTCGCTTTCCTCATGTTAAAAATGCATCTGAGCAGCTGTGGTCTGGAGAAGGTAAAATATGAATGACAGCCCGGAGTAAACAACCGCTCTGCAGACGCCACTCACCCCGAGCACAGACACAGCCGGCAGGCAGGGACGGAGCAGGGGGCAAACTAAAGTGATTACTGACGTCACGGCACAATGAGATCCATTACATTTAACATGTGGGACACGTCGTAATTAGGCCTCTGCTGGTTGTTTACCCCTAGTGTCAAATAAACTGGGTCACGCCTGCATGCACTTTGAACCTGGGCTGCATTTGATGACCCCAAGGCTTTTCAGAGTACGATTCAGAAAGAAAGAAAGAAAAGAAATTCACACCATTTCGGCATACAGCATAATATAATCCTTTATTTCATAATTTGGCGAAATGGTGGCTTCAGTAGGCCAGAACAGAACATATACATAAAACTCCCCGCAGTGAATACAATCCACATTCCCTCCTCTCCTCTTCCTCTCCTCTCCTTTCTGCTCATCTCTGCTGGTCCTCCGCTCAGAGGAGGAAGGCCACTGCCAGGGAGGTGATGATGGACAGGCCAATAACTGTGTAGCCCGTGCGGTAGACCTCTGGGATCCTGAAGCCTTTGCCAAGGTCCCACCACTGATTTAAATAAGAATAATAAACAAATAGGAGAGAAGAGAGAGAAGATCATTTAGTATAACAACACCATCATCTTGTCAATCTTGGCAAAAGTAATACATGTCTTATTAAATCAGTCGAATGAAAGAACGTGATCAAAATGAAAAAGGTAATTCTTTAGCTAACACCAAAACAAACTACAAAATATAATCAAATGGTCTTACCAAGTGGCGGATGCCGTTCAAGGTGTGGAACGATACCGGGAAGGCGAGGCCGAACTTGGCCAACCCGATGAGATAGGGGCCGACGGACAGCGAGTGGATCAAGTCCAGGTAGTGGGGGTAAGTTCCCGGTAACACCAGCGCAGCCAAGGCGAAGGCGGAGATAGCTAGACACAGACAGAAGTAATGAGACCAGAGATCAGACAAGGTGTGCATGTGAATGGGTGAGGAGCGTGCATGTGAAGTGGTGCATGTGAATGGGTGAGGAGCGTGCATGTGAAGTGTGCATGTGAATGGGTGAGGAGCGTGCATGTGAAGTGTGCAGGTGAATGGGTGAGGATGCCTTTTGGAGAGAAAGCGATGAGTGAGAAATGACATGTCAATGAACAACATCCTGATTAGTCTGCATGAGTCACCGCAGCACCAGACCCCACTGGACAGTCGTTCTGTAAACATCCCACTTATGGAAAGACCCTTTTATACCCTGCTGACTACATTAAATGAAGGCCAATCAATGGCTGTGTATAAAAGTGGCTCTTCTGTCCATTAGAATGAACTCCACTAAACGGTTCTGACTCAGCTTCTCTTGCTGTGGCAAAGAGGAAATGTGCCTTCCTCATATCGCCGGTGTGAATCAATGGAAACACAAAAGGCAGTCGCACAAGGCAAACATTAATTACATATTTCAATAACAACCTTTCAAATGATACATTGAATTCATTCAGAATTGTAATTCCTTATGCAAAAGGGCACTTAAAGAAGGCAGCCTATTAACTCACAAACACAACACAAATCAATACGGTGTTGAAAAACTCACAGCAGGTGGTATTTAGTGCAGAAAGTAGATTAGAGTTTATAAGCACGTGTTGTGTTTGGATGAAACAAGACATTCAGTAGTGAGGAGTGTTTATTGGCAGTTGAGGGCGCTGACCTTCATTGAACCCATTAACATGTAAAATAAATTGGCTGAGCTTTTCCCGCCGGGTACATCAAGGTCATAAGTAGTGATGTAGGGTGGCATGGAAACACAGCCTGTACGCCAGGCAGCGACTAAATGAAAGCTGTTAGCTGTCCAGTATTTGGTTTTGATGTTCTCACGCAAAAGGTTTTTTAAACGCTCTCAGCATTAATCAATAACGAAGGTCTAAAATGCCCTGAAGAAATGCACAGGATCGATCCAAACCCCACCGTGGCAGTAGCATAGCTTCACAACATTGTTAGAGTAAGCATTAAAGAAACTCACAAATGTAGCTTTTTAACCCTTTCTTTTCTGTATATGATTGAGCTAACCTAGGTTAGAACAAAACTAAATATAGAAGTAAGAATATTCACAATAGTGACGTGTCGGTCGCGAACGAGTCGTTTTAAACAAAATGTATTTATTTGTTGTTAAGTAATACGAGGCAGAATGATATGATGATGTGACATGTGATATCCAAGGATTAGAGACGGTTGGATGATGCTGTTTTGAGCGTTGCAATATATTTATTTTCATTATGTTATTTATGATTATTTTTTGGCTCAGCAAAGATTTGTTGTCAGTTTGTATAGGTGTTGCTATCTGCTTTTTATTTTACGTGGTTCTACAATCAGAGAGTTACAAGGGTCTGTAAATGCAATGAAAACAATTGGCCACAGCAAATCATTTATATTAAACATGTCCTTTTTACTTTTGAATACTTCAGTACAAAGGATGTATTGAATAATTTAAGTGATATATGTGTACACATATAAATCATTAGTCAAAACAGGGCTACATTTGATTGAATTATAAAAAGGTATATTTCGGAAATAAACCTACTAACCCCGCCCCCTTAAAAAAAAACGTCTCTTTTGAACGGCTCTCGCAAAGGAACGGAGCCATAAGATAAGCATTGCAATACGTTTGTTATTTATTTATGATTATTTTTATGCTCAGCAAAGATTTGATGTGAGCTGTTGCTGTCTTTTTTTCTTTAGTTAAGAGCCCTGCTGTTTTGTTTGGGCTTTTTCTTTAAATACAATTTTAAAATGTCGATACAGTAGCCCCCTTTTTTAAATGTCTATGCTTAAGTGTTTATAGGTGTTGCATCTGCTTTGTGTAGCGTGGTTCTACGAGCAAGTCAGTGCATGCATTGGGTGGTATCAGAGAGGTACAAGGGTCTGTATGCAATGAAAACAATTGGCCACAGCAATCATTTATATGAAACATTAAACTAAATATCTTTGATTTAATGACGGATGAGTTACCTCCACTGAGCCCCACTCCAGTTCCTCTGAATGTGATGGACATCACCATGGGGACGGACCAGCTGAAACAGAAACAAAATGCCACTTTGTAAGTTTCATTTGTATTTATTTGATACAGTTACAAAAATTAAAACATATTATAAACTACAAGTCAAACTTAAACCGCTTGTTGTAGTTTAGGCTCAGTCTCATCACTGAAAGAAGAAGTTCGATGAGTTTAATTGAGAGTCAAAATTATTGTTATTTGCAATTCAAGCCCTGATTGGCCATAGGAATGATCCCTGGTGACAGAGAAATATAAAATGAATTAAATTAAGCCAGTGGGAAAATAAAAAGGCACATACCAAATAAATGCTTTTTTACTTTTACAAGAGGTTTTAATAGAATAACTGCCGCACAGTACATCAAGTTACTCGTTCAACTACATGTATTAAGGCTTGAACATGTTGACTTTCCTGCTGTTTAACAAGAATGAAAAGACAGCACTACCTGAACATTAACTTCAATAACAATATTATTTTAGATTCTTTGAAACATACATTTAGCTGATATTATGAAACATACATTTAGCTGATATTATGAAACATACATTTAGCTGATATTATGAAACATACATTCAGCTGATATTATGAAACATACATTTAGCTGATATTATGAAACTTACATTTAGCTGATATTATGAAACTTACATTTAGCTGATATTATGAAACATACATTTAGCTGATATTATGAAACTTACATTTAGCTGATATTATGAAACATACATTTAGCTGATATTATGAAACATACATTTAGCTGATATTATGAAACATACATTTA